TCTCCTCCTCCTCCTCCTCCTCCTCCTCCTTCGTTGTAACTGGACAGTCAGAATCTTGCAACCCTGTATAGTGGGCGGTTGGCGGGTGCTCTGGTGTGGTTTGCTTTTTGTTTCCTATCAAACATCTATCGTCCTTATCTCCCCTCCTTCTTTTTTATTTTTGTTACTCTCTTGTAACACCTCTAATCTTCTGGCGCTCATATGACCTTATGCAGTTGCGAGCGCCGTAAAACCCTCTACTTAAACTTAAACTAAACAGCCCTGTATGGTGCTGCCAGAGTCATATGTGTTTAATGCTTGTGCAGTATGTTATCTTGATGCCTGATGTGTTTGCCAATCCGTTAATCCATGGAATGTGTTCTGCGGCTTCGGTGTTCTGCGAAGTGGTATTGATATGGGCGTTGATAAAACCCATACACTTACTTAAATTTACTTGTACTGCGAATTGAGCTACGATAAAGCTTTCGTCATTATGGATGGGTGGCTGGTGCTCTGGTATGGTTTACTCCTTCCTTCTTATCAAACATCCGTCGCCATTGTCTCTCCTCTTTTTTTTTTTCTTTTTTCGGTGTTAATTACTCTCTTGTATCACCTCAAATTTTCGGCACTCATGTGGCCGTATAGTGTTGCAAGTGCCGTAAAACTCTTACCGAAGCTATAAAGCTTATGTCATTAGATCCCTTCCATGTCCTCTCCAGACTTGGCCGTGCCCTTAACTGAGTCAGCAGCAGCAACTGAGAACTGAACAGGGCTCTTTCAGCTCACTCTTACGCACAAACATTCGCTGCATCTTCTCTCTTTGCCTTCGCTCTTGCCTTTCAGATGTGTACACATTCGTGGCTTCGATTTTTGTTCGTGCAAATCAATCAAACCATTTTTTTTCATCTGATTTTCTTTGTACGAGGAGAGGACCGTTGTATTCCGTGGGTGGGTGGATAATACCCACAGTGGTGTGTCGCTCGCAGTTCGGTTCCCGTGTAGGGAATTTTTTTTTTTTTTCCTTT